ACCTAAACTATATTTTGAAAAGAATTACTAGAACTACATTAAGAGAAGGAACCATTGAAGTCCAAGAGGGCAAGATGCAAGCCTCAATAGTTGATTATTTTGGAAGTTCTTAGAGAAAACAATGGTACTTAAGACTGCAGCGGTGGCAGAGGAAGTGGAGAACTGTGTCCAGATACAGGCTGCATTTGGAAGACTGGATTGCTGAGGACTTGGTAATAGAAGGAATAGAAAAGATGGGAGAAAAACAAGCACAACACCTAGATTATTGACTCCTGCAGTTGGGTGATGCTGTTTACTCAGATGAGAAAGATTGGGTGATCAGTACATTTGGGTGGGATGAGACTAAAGATCATTTTTGAACTATTTAAAGTTTATGACGATACTTTTTAGATATTTTAGACCCAAGCATTTAGTAAGCAACTAAATATGCAAGGTTAGAGCTCAGGGGAGAGATTAAAATTGTTTATATTAATTCAGTTGTCATCATAATATAATTTTCAGAAGAGAATACAAAGAAGAGAATAGAATGTTTTAGGTTTCTGCTATTTTTTTAACAATCAAATTCATATTTTGCAATCTCGGAGATTAAGTTGACTTCTTTGGGGCATGAGATTCCTTTTTTATAAAATAAGGGTCTTAAGAATGTTATTAGACATTTTTCAACCCCAGAATTTTATATCTATATGATTTCTACTCATAAATTGCTTTTTTATGTCAAAAATATTTCTTTTATAAACTGTTAAGGAATTCTACTTTTGGAAAAAAAAAAGAACATTTTGCCATTTGGCTTTTTATTACCAAGTGATCCCAGTGTTATTCATTCTGGCTTTTTTTTCCCCTTTCTGTTTCCCTGAGTACATCAGGAGTGTAGATGAAGTCAGAGGAATTACTGGAACAAATGCCATTGTTTCTGTATTGTGTACTAAAAATTATTATGTACGGTGTCATATATGTATCTGTGTTTGTGAGGTTGTGAACACTGATAAAATTTGATTGATTAACTAATAGAGGTGATTTCTGGGTACTTCACTGGCCTCAGAAATACATTAATTTTTCAGAAATACATTAATTTTAAGATTTCAGAAAGGATTCTGTTAAAATGGACATTGAACACTCAAGATTTTATCTGAATTAGAGTCTTCTTTGACTTGGTGTCCATGGAAAATTATATTCTAGCACATTAATGCTCAGATTGTCTGATCTTTGGCTGCACCAAGTGACATCAGTCTTGTTTTACAATATGCTCTGATTTTTGTCTTTTTCCACTACCTAAATTGGTTCACCTTCACTGACCCCTCTTAACATCTCATTTACATGGCTGATGGATTTTGCATCTGTGCTATCATGAATGACCTTAATGAGAGAGATTCTGGTCAAATGATGTGGATAAAAACCTAGCTGATATAGATTCTAAAGAGAATGAAAAAAAAGAGAAATGACAAGGGGTTTCAAGAGAATGAAAAAAAAAAGAGAAATGACAATGAAGGGGTTTCATTGTGGAGGGAGAGATACAGCAGCAGAGAGAGGGTCAAGGGAAGTTTCTCCCTTAAGATAGACCATATTACTAAAACATGTATAAATGAGAAAATGTCCCAGTAGGAAGGGCCACATAGGACAGAGGGCAGAGTGCTTCACTGCAGGAGTAGATGGGATCCAGGACATAAGATGAGATAGGAGTGACAGTTTGTTCATTGTAACAGCAGGAAAGTTGGAAGGAACCACTTGGTAACTGCAGTGATAGAAGGATGCTGAGTTTCTCTTCTGCTGCTTCTATATTCTCAGTGAAATAAGAACAAAGGGATCAGCAGGGAGTGAGGAAAAGGCAGGGATGTCCAGATTTGAGAAGAAAGAAGGCACTACGAAGCAGTAGTTGGAAAAGTAAAAGTGAATTAACTAGAGAAAGGGAGGAGGATTTGCAGGCAGCATAGAGGGCCATCAGAGGCGCAGGGTTATGAATTTAAAGAGAAAAACTCAGCATGATTTTAATTAGTTTGTTTATTTCCTGGCTCATTCAGCTGTTTGAGTTTGGCAGAGATTTAGTGTGAACCAAGGTTAGGAGTCTTCTTTGTCCAGTAAAATTCATATTGAGGAGGGTTAAGCGGGATCTAGTCCAGCAAGAAGGGAAGTTAGCTAGTGAGGGGAGCATTGGGCAGTGAGATTTGGCTTGGAGGACCCACTGGAGGTGAGGAATGGTTGGAGTCCGCAGTATTCAGAGAGTGATCCAAAACAAAAGAATGGTGCTTGAAATAGAGATCTAGGAGACTTCTGTGCAGTCACTGTTGAAGACGTGGAAGGTAAGATCTTGGTATTTTGAGCTGAATTAGAACAGAATACCCCAACTCTGGAGGTTAGGAGATCAAGTGACTGAGAGGCCATGTTGGCAACAGGAAAAATAAATAAATAAAAAGAAAAGCAGCAGGAGAAAAGTCTTTTTGCTTAATGAGAGGTGACCATAACCTCCTCTGGATTATTGAATACTCCTCATAATATCAACAAACATCCAGAAGCTGGCTGAGGTTCAGAGCCACCCTCTAGTAATCAGGGTCTTCTGACATGACATTACATAGAGCAGCGGCCCGTGCTCTCTGGCCTTTCATGTCGTTGGAATCATTTCCACCACCCTCTTGGGGGTGTCTGCTTGCCTCTTGTGTGTCGTTGTTCTACCAGCTCTAAGGAGCCATCTCCCGTTAACCTTTCCAGCTAAGCTGTGATAGCAAGAGGGAGCATTTCTACAGCTGAGTGAGCATCCATCCAGGTGAACTGTCAGCATTCTTACTGCAAATACTTTCTTGGAAGGGCTCCTTAGCTTTCTTCAACTTTTTTCAGATAAATCCCTTCTTCCCACAAGACCCTCTAACTTTCTCTTCATAGGAAGTAAGGGCTGTGGGCCTGACTGATGTCCTTTCCGTCTTTGAAGAATAGTGGACATTTGCCACTCAGTGTTCTTTCTTATCCCTCTTTCAGCACAAACCAGGACTTTTCATTTAAAATCTGTCATGCTTTTTATGATCTTGTAGGTTCTCTTTCTAAAAGCAAATTCATGGGATCCTACAATTGTGTAGTCAGAATTCAGGACTATTACATTTCTCTTTTCTTCAGCTTCACAGAGGTCCGCAAACTGTTACGAATTTAAGACAGAGATTGCTGGTTAATGTTTAGCATTGGATCACAGGTACAGAATATAGTTGCTTCAGATTACTTTAAGACATTCAGAACAAGATAACAGGAATATTCTCCTTGTGCTGACTGTCCAGGAAAAATAGCAATTAGACTGTCGGCACCAAGGACATTAATATTGAAACTGGCTTTCTTCAGTTTGATATGGGTCTTAATTAGCACGTGTTCTCTTAGCTTGATCCTGTCTGACTTAGGTCCCAAGATACTTAGTTCTCATATATAGTTCATTCTAAATTATGCTTTATTTCTGGAGATTCTCTACCCAAACAGCATAAACTCCAGCCTCATCTTTCCAGCATTTTCTTCCAGTCTTCAAATCCCACCAGCCTTTCCTCAGGGAAACTCCCGTTTTCCCCATTCCCACTCCTATATCAAGGAGGATAGACCCGCATGGCATCCATGTTCCTTTCTTTAAAGCATTTTTCCTACGTAAAAATAAAATCTTCCTTCTTAAAAAATAGTAAGTTTATTTATCTATTTCATGAGTTTCTCACACACTGAAATCCAGGCCTTGAGGGCAGCACAATGGCTTTTTCTCATGCTGAGCATGCTGTCTTAAAGACGGAGATAATTATTGAACAAATGAATGAAAACTCCCAAGACATCTACCTATAGTCAAAATGAGGGGATCTGTTGGTGTGTTCAGAAATATTTGAGATGGTGTGGACCAGAGGATGTCTATAAGCCTAAAGAGCTTGCCCTTCAAAGTTTGAGTAATTATGTATTCAAACTTTAAAACATGTTTAGTTTTAAAACCTAATTATGTCTGAGTGGGAGGTTAACTTAAATTTTATGTAGAAAAATCTGTATTCATGGTTTTTTAGTGGTGGTATTCTAAGTGTGCTGCTAGTTATAATAATTGGCATCTTGCTTGCATAGGCATTGACTTAGCAAAAAAAATTCTTACCACCCTTGAAAACTCAGTTTGAGGTCTACAGATGACCAGTCAATAGAACTATTATGAAATAAAACAAAAGGCCCATGTAAGATGAAATCATCTTTAAACTATTTCGCCATTTATTGAGTCTTTGTTATGATATTTTGTTATTGTTTAAATTAGGAATATCATCAGTTGTCTTTCTTAATCACCAAGCAGCTAACCTAAATGTTTTTGAAGATTACATGTAATTTAATCTATAAAGTAACCAAAATGTCTAAATAATAATTTTTAGATTGAAAGTTAATTCCTTGTTTCTTTCCCATTACTCAGTTTCATTTTTATTTATAAAAACATTTGAGTGTATCAAATTTTTTAAGAGTCCTGTGCCTTTTTAAAGTTCAGAATTTCAAAATAAATGTCTCTGTGTTTTATAAGTGTATCTGTGAAGGTGCTTTATCACTTGACTATAATTTGACTGTGTAGGTATTGAAAAATTAGATAGACATGAAAGGCTACTTGCATTTGTATTTGGGGCTTCTATAGAGGTTAAAATTTTTGAAAAATTAGATCTGGGAAGTTTTGTATTACTCCCTTTCCTCTTTTGAGAAAAGTATTATTTCCAAGCTTATTTGTATTAAATGGCCTACATCAAACCTGTCCTTGTGAAAGTTTCATGGTTTCCAAGGACACAGTTTATTTACCTTTTCCCCCATTTTCTAAGCGCATTAGGGAGTAATCTATTTTTTTAAAGGCCAATACAGATGGCAGGACTGCTTCAGATTTTGTGTTACTGAGGAAGCTGTTGCATACAAATTTATTTTGAAATTATGAGCAATGATTAAAAATCAGAGGGTGTTGCAGTAGAGTTATTAGAGGTCAAAGTATAATTTGCTGTTACCATCAAGAACTATTGACTTTTGAACCCCTGAACACTCTCTTCTAGCTGCTTTCGAAATCTATTGAACAACTGAAGCAACCAGGCAGTCACCTGGAGGAAGCTGAGGAAGAGCTTCAGGGGGACCAGGCCATGCAGGAAGACAGAGCGCCCTCTAGTGACAACAGCAGTAGGAGCGACAGCAGTGCTTGTGTGGATGACACACTGGGACAAGTTGGGGCTGTGAAGGTCAAGGAAGAGCCAGTGGACAGTGATGAAGATGCTCAGATCCAGGAAATGGAATCTGGGGAGCAGGCTGCTTTTATGCAACAGGTAATAGGCAAAGATTTAGCTCCAGGATTTGTAATTAAAGTTATTATCTGAACATGAAATTCATTGCAGGTTTTGGTAAATGGATATCATTTCCTATTAGTTTATAACTCTGAAGGATCTGATTTTAGTGTTTGAGGATTCTAATACAGGTGAATATATATATCTATGTAGAGATCTGTCTGTGTTGATCTCTAAGTAGATATCAAGATTTAATTGAAACTCCACTGGTAAGAAAATACCTGTTACACTAAAATTATGCTACATAATATCCAAGTAATTAATAGGCTTTAAATTCATTCCAAAGCCTGCTGCACCATTTACTTCTAAGGAAAATGAACTCACTGCTATTTTTAGTTTATCTGTTGAGATCAGTGACTGCTGGATGTACTCATCCAGTCTGATCAGTGAAACATCCTATTAGTTTTTGGTCTTTTTGAACATATAGAATCCGATTTTCACATCACTGTACATAATGTATCATACTACTGTCTTGAGCACTGTTAAAGGTAGTCTGCCCCTCCTTCCTCTCTCTTTTTTGTTAAATATAAATATTCTGGTTACCATACCAGTAGTCCTAGGCTATTGTGTAGATTGCAATTGAAAATATTAGAAATGCAGGTGGTTTGAAATATGTAAATGCAAATTGGAGTACTTTAAATATAACATTATGTCTCACCTAGCACTGCACATTTTACTTTTATCTTGTGTAATTTGATGACATTGTGCATTGAAAAAAGATCAAATGAAGCAGATGCAAATGTTGGTGAGAAGTAATGTGCAACATTATGGTCCAATCAGATACTTATCGTATCTACAACTGCAGAAAATACAGTATGATTGTCACCTGATAGCAAGTCAAAACCAGTTTTTAAAAAAGGTGTATTGTATTTTATAATCATTATGACTAGATGCTCTTAGATATAATTCCATAATGACATGGCACATGCCATATCATTTTGGCAAATGAAAAATTATGAAAGTTGGGTTTAACAAAATAATTTACTTGTATATAATGCACCTTCAGAAGGACTATGTCCTTTGATGCTATAAAACACAAACAACTTTGAAGGCAAAGAAGACCATGTTTATTTAAGTCAGTTCTTTGTCAGGTTCCTGCTGTTCTCCTACAGAAAAGTGATTCTGTGAGGCTGAACAGGAAATGCCTTGTGGAAACAGGAAGTCCAAGTGATTCATGTACTGAGGAATGTAGGAAAAAAAAAAAAATCTGAGGATAGTGTTTTACTCTTTCTGTTTTTAAAGGGCACTCTATGAATTGATTTATTGTCTAAGAAAATAACACCACAAGTAGGGAAATTGTTACGGAAGCTTTTCACTGGAACATTTCCTTCATATTCCCTTTTGATATGTTTACCTTGTTTTATAGGTTTACTTTTGTTAAGCTAGTAAAAGGTTCATTGTATTAAGATCCCTTTAATATGGATAATCCAAATTGACCTAGAATCTTTGTGAGGTTTTTTTCTATTAAAATATTTATATTTCTAAATTCAAGGTATTTTAAGGTGTAGTATCCTGTTTCAAAGGAGATATAGCAGTTTTGCCAAATGTAGACATTGTTCAACTGTGTTACTGGCACGTGTTGTTTATATTTTGCTGTGACATTTAAAAATATTTCTTTAAAAATGTTACTGCTAAAGATACATTATCCTTTTTTAAAAAGGCTCCATTCAAATTAAATTAACATAACTAGAAGTTAGAAAGTTTAAAACTTTTCCATATAATGAAAGTCCTTCTGATAATTTGACAAATAGCTATAATAGGCAACACTCCCTATCACCAACATATTGGCTAGTATATTCCTTCATATTAAAATGACTTTTTTGTCAGTTGTTTTGCATTAAAAATATGGCATGCCTAAGATAAAATTGTATATTTTTTCCATCTCATAAATATTCATTTTCTTCAAAGTCTTTTTTCAATCTCATAAAAAAAGGGATAGTGCATCTTTTAAAATACATTTTATTTGGGGAGGAACATGTGGCTGAGCAGACTTTTGTATAATATTACTTCAAAGATATGTAATCACAAACAAAAAAACTATTTTTTATAATGTCATTTGAGAGAGCTTCATCAGTACAGTTGGTGGACATTAATTGTTTGAATTTGACAGTCTTTGAATTTAATCAAGAAACTACCTGGAACCAGTGAAAAGGAAAGCTGGACTTAAATAATCTTAGAACTAATTGATAAATGTTTCTTTTAAAATCTACTGTATTTATTATAATTTACACCCTTGAAGGTGATCTCTTGTTTTGTGTTGTAAATATATTGTTTGTATGTTTCCCTTCTTGCCTTCTGTTATAAGTCTCTTCCTTTCTCAAATAAAGTTTTTTTAAAAGATCCCCTTTCATACATTTGGCTTTGTGTAAACTTTATATATTTAATTGAATTTGAAACTTGTATGCCAGGTCTCATATGCCAAAATATATTGCCATTTTTTTTTGTTGAATCAAGAAAATAAAGATATTTTGAGAAGTTACTTCTAATACCATTAAAAAAATAATCATTCAACAATAAGGACTCTAAACTATTTACACCAGCCATTATCAAATAGCAAACATATGTAAAATTTGTTGCATTCTCCTTTTTCCCAGTGTGAATTTTCCCATGATATGCTATCATCTTTGGTATTTAAATTAAAATGTCAACTTATAAATATAAAACTTCAAATAAATAGATGTCAGTTCCTAACTTTGCTCAACTTAAAAATTATTTTTAAAAAGCTTATTATAATCCCTTGATGATAACAAGCATTCAGTAAATATTAAAATGAATAATTTTCCAACTATTATAATAATTACGCTTATCACAATGAGATCTTGAACTACACATATATAGTGACAGGGAATAAATTTAAAGAGAAAATAGTAATTAAATGAGCTCCCCTTGCATGGTAACAATTGCTGTAATACTAGTGTGAAGAACAAAGAGCCTAATCAGGTAAAGGGAACTGTACCATACTCGTCCCACGGGCCAGGCAGTATCTACTTACTCCTCTTCTGAGCTGTTGCCAGCAAAACTCGAGTCAATGCTTCATAATGTGTTACGGTGTTTTGGTTCAATAGGTTAAAAGTAATTTTTTATGTTCTTTGGTTCACTTAATCTAATCTTCAGTAGTGTCGTACAGATTTATGTTATTCTAAGTTACAACAGTATTGCATTAGAGTGTTAAGAAATATAGAGCTATAATTATTAAATATTACATAATGCATTATCATTCTATGAGACCATAACTTGGATAACTCAGTAAGAATTCTGGAAATACCATTAATGCTAATTATAATTTTCTGAAATTTGGCTTTGGACTATTATTCAAAAGATTAATTCAGAAGAGATCCTAAAATAAGATAGGAATTGATGAAATAATGGTTTTATAGTGTATATCTGATTTCTGAAATATTATATAAAGTAATCATTTTAATAAAAAGCATCATTTTTTTTCTCCTTAAAAATATTTCTTGCCAAGACTTGGTATAAAAAATCATTAGAGTTTTTCTTCTGCAGTAAGCCTCCTCCCTGGTGAAGGTGATTGCTGAAGGGTAGAGTACTACTTTTCATAGATTGCCTTTAAGAAGTTTTTATTTGTTTCATACTTCTTTCTTCTAAAGGATGTTATAAAGGAATTTTTAAATCTATAACAGATTTTTTTTAATTTGGCATTTCTTGGTGGTTTTTTTTTTCAATAATTGGAACATGATATTATAAGTAACTGTAGAAGGTATAAATGGTGGGTGTACATTTGAGGATTTACAGTGATAAATAGTTGAGGGCTTTAATTGTAACCAGTTGTAGTGAGAAGCTTTGAGATACAAGAGAAGGCTTTTGAAACTATCTTTCCCTTTATTATTGATAATTTTTCCATCTAATATAGGAGAGTGATCAAAGAATTCAGACAAATAAAGGGAAAATGGGTTTATGACTTTTCCACGAAGCTCAGAATATATTTGGACTTAAAAAGGTTTCTATTCATACGGTTTCATATCTTTTTGTAATAACTTCTTTGAGGTTTATGAACTATTTAGACAATGTTTCATTTTTGGATCATCTTGATTTGCCAAAAGATTTTTACTTTCAATGATTGTAGCCCTACAGTGCAACCAGACATCCTTGCAAGCACTTTGTATCTATTAATCCTCTCAATCTACTCACATCTGTCAACTTGTTCAGGCCTCACTTATTAAGTAAATAACACTATCATCCCATCCTAGAGCTAAGAGCACTGAGCACTGAGTAGTAAAAGTCAAGGTCACCCAGTTAGTGGCAGTCTAATTTTAATGTGGCACCAGAGTCCTTGCTCTTAAGCTTTAGCACTGCTCGAAAGCTTGTGCAGCAGTTCTCTTGACATGTCCCATTATGCTTGCTTCTGACCAGTATATTCAATTGATCCTACTTCTCCATCCAGTCCATCCACCATCCACTTCCCATTAGTATTTACCAAACTGTTTTGAATCACTTGCCTCTCTCTCTTCTTTTAATTACTGCTACAAATTACAAGATTAGGATTCTTTTATTTTCCCTAACAGCTGAGGGTTCTAATTCCTGCAATGATGTATTCAGTCATTTTTAATCATTAAAACATGGGGGGTTTTCTTTCATTTTGTCCCTGACCAGTTCCAGTACTGAGATGGAGTAAAACAGAGTGACTGTATCTGGGGAAAAAGGACTTCAACCAGACAAGTTGACCTTCACCACTGCTCATCTGATTCCCCAGCCAAGGCACAGAATCCAGTTTTTAAGTAGGACCCTTCTGTTAAAACATTTTTAACCCGTCAGGCATGTACTTGATAATCATTTTTACCTACATGTTCTGTATAAAATGTTGAGGAAGGAAAAACAGAATCATCCATTGAGTTGTAGACCTCTGAAGCATTTTTTCTAATTAGAATGTGCAGAAAAGTCCTTTTGAGAGAAACAGATTCTGACCACACTCCCATAGGTTCTGATCCTGTAGTCCTGACATGGAGCTCAGGAATGTACATTTT